TTCCAGAGAAGAGAGTGACCTTTTCTTTATATTTGCCATGGCACCCATTATTGAGCCTTACATATAACAGGTGCTCAATAAAAGTTACATTTATAACAGCCTTGTGTAGACAAGAATAAACTCAGTTATATGGTCTATAATATTCAGCATTTATTTACTGGTAGAGAGAGAAGTGAAACAGGAATTGGCCAGATGGTTTTATCTGGAGCCCTTCTAAGCACATACTAAGTGAAACATCCACGGAAAAAACAGCCTGGTTTAACGGTATGAACTTTGACTCTGTGATAGCTAAATGTCCTTAAAGCCATCCTGGATTTGTCCCTACAGAGACCAGGACGCTCAACACAGTGCTGTGAAATGTTCCTTTAAAAAGATTTCTCAGCACTAAATAAAAATGTGGCTTCCCAACGTTGCAAAAGAGGTTCAGTTGTTAATTTTGGCCAGGGACAAGCACTGAACTGGCTCCAATCAGAGATAGCAGGATGAGATAAACATGGCTGCATGATGTCACTGAAATGGCCTTATTTCCACCAGAAGCTAAACTCAAATACCCCCAGGGAGATGAATTGTTTTGTTTTGCTTTGAATTAATACAGATTTCTAAAATTCATTTTTGCCTTAGTAGGTCTAGATGGAATTTTCCAATGGACTCCAAACTCCGTGGAGAGGAGCTGGGGTGCCTGAAAAGAGTGCTCAGCAGCGACTGTGAGGCAGACGGGCAGTTCGAGCCCTGCTTTCTGCACTAGATGTTGACCAGCATGTCTTTCAAAAGGCCATGAGGTCCTGGATTCAAGGGTGGTGAATCAGAGATTGCACTTGGCTCTTGGTAAAGTCAATGCACCCAAACCACAGCACTCAGCACTTCTACTGACTAAAGAAACAGTGGGTCAGCTTTCAAAATGAAAAGAAGCTTCAAGAAGAGCAGGGAGGGTACAGAGTCTCCTAAGGTGTCTCCCTTCCCACCCACTATCTCCCGAGACACACACACACACACACACACACACACACACACACACACACACACACTCACACACACACACATCTACTCCCTCTCTCTCCAAAACCCAAAGCCATCTTGTGTAAGCAGTCTGGGAACTTCTAACTTTGGAGGGAGAGCTAATCCAGGCTCTTGCACCAACTCTCCCACCCAAGTTCACAGAACAGGGATGGGGCACAGCAGAGCTGAAGCATATTTGTCAAATCATTTGTCTGCAGAGGTGAGACCTGACGCCATCATCAGACGCTGCCTGGTTGTCATATAGAGAATGGGGGAACAGAGTGGAATCTAGAACCTACTCTCTGGATTCAAATCCTGCTGATACCACTCCTCTGATTCTGTTCCCTGTGCTTCAGTTTCTTCCTCTATAAAATGCGATGACCAACCGTAAGCTCATGAGACTCTCTGAAGAATGTAATGAAATAGTCCTTGTAAAGTGTTTAACATGGCAAGAGCTTAATAAAATCAGCTATTATTATTTCCTACTTGGTCTTAAGGGAAAGTCTAATTTTCCTCCGTAATGAAAGGATGGGCTGATTTCTCAACTGAGAGTGTGATCTTGTCTTTCTATGCTGCTAGTCTCTAGTCTTCTCTTTTTGCAATTTGGATGAATATTTCAATTCTAATCTATAAGAAGAATTAGATGCTCACAAACTCTTCCAGACAGAACCACGCCTTACATAACTTGGATAGCAACTTTTGTACAAATCACTGTGTTAGTTATTGTGGAAAATATACAATAAGCAACTAATCAATGTTTTAATCAAATTATCCCCTGGCTTCAGCAGGAAGGAGACTCACCAAAGGGAAATGCAGCACCCTGAGCCCAATGGTTATAATAATCACATCATATCAATAGTTGGCTTGATATTTATGAAAGAGTCTAACACAGTGACAGGAATCCAATAGTCAGTCACATCTATTAAAGTGTATAAGCGTGATAATGCAAATTAACTTTAAACATTTTTACAGTGATTTATACTCTACACAGACAACACCAGCATCTGAGTGAGTGGAAAAGTAGAAACTGAAATTTGAATTTGGTTAATGGTGATGAAGTTTTCAGTTGTTCCAGACAGTACATATACTTGTTACATATATAAATAGTCATTCTTCTCTCTTTCTCCCTTCCTTTAGCTGCAAGACAGGGAGAAGGACACAGGCCTTAATCCACAAGTAGGTATGCTCATACACTGATATACAGGAACACTGAGGCTCAAAGATGAGAAGGGACTTGCCCAAGAGCCAGAATGCAAACCTCAGGGAAAAAAATCAAAACTAATGTTTTTGAAAGTGCTTTGTGAGCAGCAAAGTACAAAAGCATTCTTGCAAACCATAGGCAATTAATAAGCAGCTGCTCTGCCCCAGTGGCCATGTTGGACATTTCAGGTTGAAAGACACCCCAGCCTTGAAGGAGTTTCCAGTGTCAGGGACACAGGTGTACTGAAGAAGTATGTTCTGGACACAGTAGGGTACAAGGGAGGGGACGGCCACCTCTAGAAACGTGAAAGCAGAGGGTCTTCTCAAGGAAGAGACACAGGAGCTGACTCAGAAAGCTCAGTAGCTAGATGTTCATCAGAAGGACAAGGCGGGAGAAAAGCAGGTCAGGGCAAAGGAGCAGCATGACTAGGGAACGGCATTTTCAGATTTACGATTTCACATTCTTTGGGACAACTGCCTACAAAAAGGACTGGAAGCAGGGATACTCCACTATGACAGACCAGGCAACAGATGGTGAAAACTGACTGAGGCAGTGAGGTCTCGAGGGTAAAGATGTGGATATGATATAAGAGATGTTAAAGAGGGAGAGGTGACAGAATTTGGTCATGCTTCAAGTTTGGAGGGGAGGGAAAGATGGAGGTCAAGTTTCTGACTTGAGTCCTGGGAGGATGGTGGTGCCATTTGCCGAGAAAGGAAACCCAAGAGGGAAAGAATGTAATATACTCTAATATAATTGGCTTGATGGTGGCCTCAGGTACTCAGGTACCTTTCTTGAATCTGACTCATTACAGATGACTTCTTAGGCCTCATCTTTTGATTCAGGATAGTTTTCTATCACTCACCTTCCTGGTATCTTAGCTAACAATTAACTGCAAGAGGGGAAACACAACAGCCCAGCTCCATATTCTAAATGTCTACCCTGGGGTAAAACAGAAGTAACATGGACTTCAAGTGGAAGTCACAGGTGTGTGCTCCTAGCACAGCACCCATGAAATTTTTCTTTGGCTATGTGTCAGGGCCTAATAAGCACCTGTTATATTTTTATGGTTCAGTAGTAGGACATAATAGGACTTTGTTGAAATGATAATTATATCCCCTATGAACCCAGCGTGTAGACCCAGAATGGCTAATGGGAACCTGCAGTAAGGTACGGGCTCCAGGAGCTCAGGCACATCTGTAGGTAGGTTGAAGTCTCTCTCAAACAACTGGTAGGTATTTTAGGTAGGGGTCCCCATGGTGCCTCCACTTGTTTTTGCTGAAGGCAGGGGCATGGCTTCTAGAAGGATGTAGCTCCACAGAGAGCATGGCTTGGCCAGTGGTCAGCTCCAGGTCAAGAACACAGCTAAGGGGGGAGAGCATGGGCCCCCACTTGTGTTTCATGGGCTCCCTCCAGCTTAATACAACTGTAGCCACTGTATGAGGCAGCCCTGGGACCTTGAATAATGGCCCTTAGCCGTCCTACAGCCCCCAGCCCACAAGAGCGCCCAGGCATAAGAGCCTATTATTAGAGACAGAAGAATGTCTTATAATAAAGTCCGGCATAAACAGTATTTATGAGGCACTTGGGGTAATGTGCAAGCATTTATTACATAAACGAATAAACAAATTAAAGAATAAATCTCCACTAATGTCAATACCCAAAACACGTCCTGTGAAGGGATGAAAGCAGAGAAGTTAAACACCATCTGATCATGCACAAACTAAATTTCCTACTAGTAGGAAGAGTAGGGTATGTTTCATTTCTGGGTTTCCATTCAGCTCTCAATGTCATATATTAAAATACTAATTGCACTGTTTTCCAGCTAGACGAAACCCCCATTCTTTAAAATTAGGATCTTGATGAGGATTTGTGTCCGTAAGCATGATGTAGGACCAGACCCCATCAGGAGATACTACACTGTTTTCTTTCCTTACTCAACATACCAGATCATCCTAAAATGGAAATTATTCTATGAGAATGGAACAGAGGATGTGACTATATGTCTGAAGAATCCAATTTTGAATAGGTATTGAAAACATTAGGGTAAACAGGATCAAATATATGGTGATGGAAGGAGAACTGACTCTATGTGGTGAACACACAATGTGATATGTAGATGATTTATTACAGAATTGTATAGTTGAAACCTAGGTGATTTTACTAGCCATTTGTCACCCCAATAAACTTTAATTAAAATAATAATAATAATAATAATAATAATAATAATAATAAAGGCCCTGGGGAAAAATTGATGAAACTCTTGAATATTTCTGCAAAAATGACCTTCTATATCTTACTATTAAAGTCAAATGTGAAAGACGTCTGAAAAAAAAAATAAAAGACAAACATTGAGAACCCATTCTCTGCTGTGTTACTTTTCAAACTTTAGGACCCACCAAGGGAGGCAGGATGAAAATGATTCTCCTTTAAGTCAGCATGTTCTGACACGTTCAAGCTTGAACCCAGTTTTATTCCTTAACCAGAAACAAGCTAACACAATCTCTCACCGTAATTTGCTAAGTTATCCACACGTTTGGAGCAGGGGTTCTCAACCTCTGCACTACAGAGCTTTGGGGCTGGGTAATTCTTTGTTGTGAGGGGCAGTCCTCTATGTTGTCGAAGTTTAGCAGCATCCCTGATCTCTACCTATTACAGGACAGTAGCAGATTTCCCCTCTGAGTTATGACAAACACAAATGTCCCCAGAACCACAAATGTCTTCAGACATTGCTAAATCACCCCTAGTTGACAAACACTGATTTAAGAAACACTCTTAAACCCAAGTTCATCCAGACACATGGAGTCAGCTGAACATCTGAAGGGCAACAAGGAACTACACTACCTGCTGTTGTGATAACAAGGACTTTGGACAAGTAAGTTGAAATTTTCTCACTGGTCCAGGCACACTAAATTTAAGGTACTGAGCAAATAGTTCACTAAAAATAAAAGAAGTGATTTGGTCTATCATCACTGTCTGTTTCTAAGATCCTGTTGATTCGTTTTTACCAGACAGAATTTAAAAACTTATTATAGTATCTTTATTATACTGTATCTATATATCAGCAGTTTTTCGCAGCAAGTGATAGAAACCCAATTCAAAGTGGCTGAGCAAAAAAAAGGGAAGCTTTTTATTGGGTCATGTAACAAAATCCAGGGATAGAACTGGCTCTACATACACCTGGATCGAGGTGTTCAAACAATGACACAAGGAATAGTCCACTTTCATCTTTTGATCATATTTTCTTCTATGTTGGCCTTGTTTCCAAGGTGCTTTCCCAAGTTGATGACAAAGATGGCTCCTGAGGCTTAGGCTGACATCCTAGAAACTGCTATGGAAAGAGAAGGGCTCTTTCCCAAGAGGTCCAGCCAAAGTTCCAGGGTGAAGTCTCATTGGCCTGACTTGCTTGTGCCTGTCCATGAGCCCATCATTGTGGCCAGAGAACTGGGACACTCCAGGTGGTTTCCCAGGCTTGTCAGCACACTTTCTGGTAGAGCCTCTCAGAGGGCTTCCATTGGTTCCTGTCTCCTGCTTTTCATGCCCTTGTGTATTCTCCCCTTCCTGAGTGTAGGCCGAACTCACTTCTATTGAATAGGATATAACACAAATGATGGGATGTCAGTTCTGTTATAATGTTACACAAAGACCATGACTTCTGGCTTGCGCACCCTGCCATATTGTGAACCTCCCTGTGGAGAGGCCTATGTGGCAAGAAACTGATGCCTCTGTCCAAGAGCCAGCAGGAACTCAAAGCTTGCCAACGGCCATGTGAGTGAGCTTAGAAGCGGATCTCTCCTGAGTTGATTACAGCCCTGACTGGACATCTTGATTATCTTCTGAGAGATCCTGAGGCAAAGGTAGACCAAAAAATTGCCCCCAGACTCCTGATCCATAGAAGCTGTGAAACAGTGTTTGTTGTTTTAAGCCATTAAATTTTGGGGATTATTTGTGATACAGCAATATATAACTAATACAACACACCCTCCTACACACACATACCCTCACCAGGGATACAGGATGGGACTATTTCACCAGATATCATGGCCTGAGATCAGGGGAGACACAGTCCCAAAGGAATTCTAGTGCTCCAAAACACATATTCATTATAACATCCAATTTAGGCTGGTTTGACAGAGCATATAAGTTTCAGAAGATAAAAGGAAAGCAGTCCTCTGACACTCTAGCCATAGGAGGAAAGACTGTAGACTTCCATGTGACTTCATCAGGAATTGATTTATAATGACCTAACTCATAGGAGACTTTGCAAAGCCACATATCCTGGGGGCGAGGGGTAGAAGCATAGTGCTGATAGCTTATCCTTCACTCACCCCTACAGATGGAAACTGCTAGACAGCAGTTTGAGTAAAACATTTCTATTGTTTTAAACCTGTCAGTTCTGAATTTTTAGTTTCCATTATTACATAAGCCCTGAAGTACGTACCTCTATTGACAGGGACAGTTTATTTTCTCTTCCCATTAAACAGAAAATTGAACAGCCTAAGAAGAAAGTGAAATATTGATGAATCTTTTGCTGCAGTATCATGAATTTGTAGTTCAATTTTGAAGTATTGGCGCTGGGGTCTTGATGAAAGTTTTTCTTCCTGAATGTCCCTGAAGCACTAACATAAGGTACTTAGAGGCTCTGAATTGCTTCAGGTGCTCCAAACACACGATACATAGAACTGAGCTCTCCTTGTTTTCTCACTTCTATGTTCCCATTTACCATGCCTGGCTCATGGCAAATACATTGGGAAAAATTAAACTCCTGTCATGCATTTGATCACTAGAAACAGTGAAAGTGAAATTAAGTTCTAAGGAGACTGTGACTTGCTAACCATAACCTACTGGAACCCAAGTCTCCCTGAATTGCTCATGATGAAAAGTCACAAAGGTGAGAGAATTTAGGAAGTGACTTGAATACCAGGATAATTGATCATCAGTACTATTACTTAGGACCATTTGGAGTGTATTATTGTATGTAGCTTCTACATAGTATGACATTTAATTGATACTCTATAACAATCAATTGATTGATTAATTTATATGTTTTCGGAGTAGTTGGATCTAGAAAAATGCTGAGTATGACATTGATGGATTTAGTCAAGGTTGTATTTTCAGATTAATCGCTACTCTGTGGGCTATTGGATATCTGTGATCCTTCCATAAACACTAAGATCCTTACTAACCACATTTTTTTATAATGAACTGAGCACACTTTTAAAGGTCTGCTTACTCATACACAGCTGAGGTTAAAAAAAAAAAGTTTTATTTTCTTAATTTGCATTGATCTGCATTTCTTAAGACGTCAGAATCTCAGTAATTGCAACAGGACTGTATTTCCACTCACACACATATTCAGGAAGTCTAGCTTCCTCAAAATTTAACCCAGTAGTTGAGAAAGCTCCTGAGTATATTAAGTGAGTGTGGGAATGGATATAACTTGGCTATGAGTAGAAAGCACCATTTCCTTCTGCAAGTTCTTACAGCAGCAACGTGGGACCTGTGAGTTCCTTCTCTCCTGCTTTGGAGACTCTTGCCTCTTGGGGCCAGATCTAGGACAGGTCCTACCTGCCCTATTTCAGAGGCATGCTGCCCATCACTGAAGTGCTGGGTTCCAGGTCACACTGCCTTTTGCTTTCAAGCTCCTACAGAGACGAGTGATGAGGCACCTAGTTCTTTTAGTTTTACTGCTTCATCTTCCCAGGACTCTAGTACATGTTCTGGGGAATTCAATAAAAGAGCAAATCCCCAAAATTCTAACTGAGCTCTCTTCCGATGCTGGCCGCCCATCCTTGAGCCAGGTTTGTATAAATGTCATTCTTTGCCCGAAAGGGTGAGTCTTGCTATCTCACTGGCCATCTAGACATGTCTGAAAACCTAGGATATGTAGTTTAGGCCCTCAAGCTTAGACACCCCCAAGTTCTCACGCCAGGACACAATCACTGTAGATGTGAGTCAAGGGAGGCTGAGCCCACATGTGAAATTTGGGGGAATCCAAAACAATTTTCCTGTATGTACAGGCACTTCTGATCTTAGTGAAAGAAAACTCAAGAAACGATTAACATCAACTGTGGAGTGTAAACAAACTAATTAAAGAATTTAATACTTATTTTTCTCTGCTTCAAACATGGCCTAACTTTAAAGTAGTTTAGCTTGTCATAAAGGACCAGACTCTGAAATCAAACCATTTAGAAGCTATGCTAAGTTCACCATGTCACTTAAAATCTCAGAGTCTCTGTTTCCTCATTTGAAAATGGGGACAATAAGACATTATCCATTTTGATTGTTGTTAGCATTGGATGAGCTAATGAACATAAACAGAACACAGTGCAGTCAGCCCCTCATGTCTGCAGGTTTCACATGCTCAGATTCTACCAACTGTGGATTGAAAATACTTGAAAAAAATGTACATGGTTGCTGATGTATATTATGTAGTTAGGCCTACAAGGGTTGCATCTATACTGAACATGTACAGGCTCATTTTTCTTGTGCTTATTCCCTAAACAATACAGTATAACAACTATTTACAGAGCATTTACATTGCATGAGGTATTATAAGTAATCTAGAGATGATTTAAAGCATACAGGAGGATGTGCACAGGTTATATGCCAATACTACGCCATTTTGTATGAGAGACTTAAGCATCCATGGATTTCCATATTTGCCGTGGGTCCTGGAACCAATCTCCCACAGATACCTAGAGATGACTGTACCTGGCACAGAGTAAGCACCCAGCCAAGCTTTTGGCCATTATGCACAGGGCTGTACGTTAAAATTTCTTTACAGTGTAATACAGATGTTCAAAAGCATTTTCATAGCCCCACCAGATGGTGGTCAAAGCATTTATGAAAAGACTGGTTGCTCTTTTAGAAAAAGCGGCCTCCAATCTTGATTAAGAATGACATTTCTAATTTTTTTTTCTGCTACTGTGTAAATAGCACAGAATTCTCACAAATAAATCACATCATTTTGTATAAACAAATTCCTAGCTTTCTGTGCAGCGGAGGGCAGCTCCTCACAAATTCTTTTGGGGACGCTCTGGCTTGTCCCAGAATCAGTCCATGCCGAGTTTACTATTCAGACCAGATTATTACCAAGGCAGTTGGAGTGGTCAAATTCCCACAGCCAATTTTCTATAAAAATCCCAAGTAATTGAAATGGGAGAAAGGTACCCAGTAAAAGTCAGGGTGAATAATTTAGCACAGTAGCTGTCTGCAGCCTCTGAGGCAACGTATTCAAGGCATTTTATAAAGGGGTTGACGCAGCTGCTGTTGTCTCCAGAGGATCTTGGCTGCAACACCCCCTTCCCCTTCATCCCCCATCTCATCAAGAACAAGGGAGTGTGGCAAGATGAGCAGCCAGGGGGATCCGTGATTAACTATTCTCCAATACCCGAGTGCCGGATCGGATCCTGTGAATGCTGAATGTGAACGGTGATGTTGTATGTCACAGCTTTCTAAAGGTCGGCGTTAAGAAACATCATGACTGGGCCGGCAGAGTGGCGCAATGGTTAAGAACTGGCTTGGGACGCCAGAGGGCCCCAGTTCGGATCCCACATATGAGGGCCAGTGACACTGCCCTCCACAGCTAAGATGCTGAACAACAGCTCAACCTGGAGCTGGGCTGCTGTGAGTCGCTGGCACCGGCAGGTGGGTTGCCATGGGCTACCGTGTGTAGCCAGCAGCCAGCATGAGCGGCCAGCAGCTGCAGTGAGCGGCCGTCCAGAAGCCGGTGACTGATCTGCCTTGGCCAGGAAGAGCGCAATGATGGTGCCAACTTGGGCCAGTGAAGCAACGTCCTCCACAACTAGACTGAAGAACAAAACGACAGCAACTTGTCTGCTCCCCTTCCCCCAATTCCCCAGTGCTGTTCCC